ATGCACGGATTACCCTTTCATCTCTGGATTACCCTTTCATCTCTGCTCTGCTCTCCCCTTCTGCCCTGTTCTCTCTGCTGGTCCTCAGCCCTGCTCTGGATCCCTCCTAGTCAGAATACATTTGGTTTCAGTGCTTGGCCAAAAAGCAGACCCTCCTGAAAAGTTGTGTTGTTATTTTTAAGCTTAGGAGGCTTTCCTGTTAACATAGTTTCCTTTTCATCCAGATGGTAACTAACATCTATCAAATGCTTTCTCTGTGCCCCAGCCACCTTATGAAGTCAGCTACATGAATTGAATTAACTTCCGAATCCTCTCAGCAACCCTAGAACACAGGCAGTCTTAGTCCTTCCCCCTTATACAGATGGGGGGACTAAGGCACAGAGATGGCAAATCCCTGGTATGGGGCTGCAAGTGGCAGGGTGGAGGTGTGAAACCAGACTGCCAGTTCTCCTACCCAAGACTTTCTCCAAACAATCCTGAAGCCTTTGCTGGTGGCCTCGGCTCTCAAACTGGCATCTCATGTGCTCCTAGTCAGATATTCTTGTTTTTGTGGCGTGCATTCATTCATTCATTGAGCAATCCAGCAGGCATTCACTGGGGGCCTGGTACAGTCTTAAGGACTCCTTTAAGGGAGGAAGCAGGAGAGATAAAGGGTCACTTCTCAGCATGGATCACTGGAACTAGATGGCTAAATAGGAGATATTTGGGCAGGGGCGGGGGGGTGGATTCAGAGGAAATCTGGTCTTTTCTGGGTCTCAGGTATGGAAAGCATATTGTCTCTGTCTTGGATGAGAAAAGATGGCATCCAGAGCAAGGGCAGGGTGAGGGCTCTGCGAGATGTCTTATTCTGGTGCCTGCACACTCAGCCCTCGGTCCACCATGCCCTTTAGGTAATGGCAATGCCTACTGCTATTCATTCAACAGGTACTTACTGAGCTCTAGCTGTGTGCCAGGCTTAGTGGGATTGTCGCTGTTGTTGTTCAGAAGCTAAGTCGTGTCTGATTCTTTGCAACCCCATGGACTGCAGCACACCAGGATTCCCTGTCCTTCACTATCTCCTGGAGTTTGCTCAGGTTGATGTCCATTGAATGGGTGATGCTATCTAACCATCTCTGCCTCCCTCTTCTCCTCCTGCCTTCAGTCTTTCCCAGCATCATGGTCTTTTCCATTAAGTCGGCCCTTTGCATCAGGTGGCCAAAGAAGCGGAGCTTCGGCTTCAGCATCAGTTCTTCCAATGAACATTCAGGGTTGATTTCCTTTAGGATTGACTTGTTTGATCTCCTTGCAGTCCAAAAGACTCTCAAGAGTCTTCTCCAGCACCACAGTTCAAAAGTACCAATTCTTCGGTGCTCAGCCTTTTTCATGGTCGAACTCTCACATACGTGCATGACTATGGAAAAACCATAGCTTTGACTAGATGGACTTTTGTCAACACAGTGATGTCTCTGCTTTTTAATATGTTGTCTAGGTTTGTCATAGCTTTCCAGGGGCAAGCGTCTTTTAATTTCATGGCTGCAGTCACCGTCTGCAGAGATTTTGGAGTCCAAGAAAGTAAAATCTGTCACTGCTTCCACTTTTCCCCCATCTATTTGCCTTGCTTTAGGGCCTCAGGGCCTTCCCCTGGGGGACCAGGCAGATGCTGACCAATCAGTTGTTTTCAGATTTAGACTTTTGGCACCAATACCTGAGGTCCCCACCCTCAGCCTCACTTGCTTGTTAAAATCCCCCACCCCCCCAAAAGAATTGTCAGTAGATTTAAAAGCAGAGAGAGCTGCTGCAAAGGAGTAGTATTTCAGCTTTTGGAAGAAAACAATTTCTTTTATCTCAGCTGGCGCTGGAGGTGGCAGAGCCGCTGCAGTGGCTTTGTCCCTGGAAGGCCAGCCCCAGGTTAAGCAAGGGGGACAGGCAGCCCTGGGGGGACAGAGCCTGGTGACCGCTCTTCTCTCTGCAGGGCCTGTACTGCGCTTCCTGCTCCTTCTCCCTGGGAAAGCCATCTCTTTCTCATCTTTCCAGGACTCAGGTCAAAGGCATCTCACCCTGCAGATCCCCTTCCCCCCTCCCTCCACCTCTCCCTGCATGTTCACTCATGCCACTTATCACAGGCCACTGTGAGCTGGGCCTCATATGCTCCAAGTAGACACTGGACCAGCCAGTGCTACTTCAACTGTATCAGCTGGTCCCTGTGTTGTTCCTCACCCTCCACGGTGCCCATCTGGGGCACTCCCCCAGGACCCTCCCACATGCCATGTGGGAGTGTGCCGTGTCCTGCCTGAGAGAATCCATGGCCGAGCACTGCTTCCCCTCCCACCCCCAAACCACATGTAATGTTCCTGCTTTGTCTCCCCTGACCTGGAAGCCAGCTTCGTGGTGGAGGCCACCGTGTGAGCTTGCTCTCTCCTGTCCCCTCCAGCCCAGTATTGTGCTGGCACTGGGATGGGCCTCATAACTCACAGGGCCCAGTGCAAAATGAAATCAGGGCCCCTTTGTTCATAGATCATGAAGAGCTGCAATATGGCAACAGGAGAGCTTTAAGCCATGTGTGAGACCCTTCCTACCAGGTTACATGCCCATGAAGCCCACCCTGCCTGACCCTCAGGAAGTACTCAACAAACCTTTGTTGTAAAAAACAAGTCGATGGACAAATGCAGGTGGAGGGGGTTTTCATAGCACCTTACTGACAGGTGGGCAGAGGCACAGCCCTGGCCAGGGGGCCCGGGACCTATTCCATCTCGCAGCCTGGGGCCTGTGTAACAAGGCCAGGATGCCACTTGAATGGCTAGAACCTGCAATCTTGTGTTTCTCTTCTCCTTACTTGGCCTCTGCCTTGCCTACCTCTACCCATGTGGCCCCTCACACTGCCATCTTGTCCAAAAGCCCCCAAAGAGGGCTGCATGGCAGAACCATCTCTCCTTCAGAAAACTCAGAAGATCAGGTTCCTTTTGATCAGCCCTGTAGCTTTCTGCCTCCCCAAAGTGAGGCTTAGCCAGACCCCTCCCCTCAAAGGAAACCATTGTTCTCAGACTCAGCCCTTTACCTTTCATCCCAGACTCCCTATGGTCACCCTTCACCTAGCCCATCATCTGGGAACCACTGATTTGTGGGTTTGCCCTGGTTGCTCAGATGGTAAAGAACCTGACTGCAATGCGGGAGACCCAGGTTCGATCCCTGGATTGGGAAGATCCTCTGGAGAAGGGAATGGCTACCCGCTCCAGTATTCTTGCCTGGAGAATCCTATGGACAGAGAAGCCTGGTGGGCTACAGTCCATGGGGTCACAAAGATTCCGACACAACTCAGTGACTGACACACTCCTTGGGGCAGGAAAGGACGGAGGTGAGATTGAACTTGACCCAAGGTGCTGCCATTCTGGGTCAAGAGTGATTTTGCTCCTGGTTTTACAGGTGAAGAAACTGAGGCTCCAAAGAGCAGTAGTTCACTCAAGGTCCCACCACAGTTCTGAGTCGTGTGGGGTGCCATTGTGCCACGCTCAGTGTGAGCTGGGCCCCAAGTGGGCAGCTGAGTGTCATCTGTGGGATGAATGAATGAGGGGAAGGAAGAAAGAAGGCCAGGAGTGTGTGACAAGGTTTATGGCTCAGAGGTGACCTGCATGCAAGGCCAGCGGGCCAGGCCAGCTAGTCTCAGAAGTGGGGAGGAATTCTCTAGCCCACAAAATTTCAGTCACTCAACAATCATGACTGTGTAGCAACAGTGGCTTCCAGGCCCTGGGTTCAAGGGCATCTGAGAGAGCACGGGCCTGGGCCCCGGGGGGAGCTCCCTGGTTGGTGGGGAGACAGGACAATAAAAACAGGACAAATAACTCAAACAGTCATTCCAGACAGGGGAGGGAGGAGGAGTTAAAGAAAACAGGTGTGTGGGGATCAGGAAGGGAAGGAACCTTATCTGCGCTAGTCTGGGAGGAAGTGGCACCTGAGGGGCACCTGGAGGTGGAGGGCTGGCCAGATGGCTGGGGTGGGGACAGAGACAAGTAAGGAAGAGGGTTCAGGCAGAAAGACTGGCGAGTACAAAGGCAGACTGCCAACAAGTTCAGGGAAGGATCAGCGTGTCTGGAGTAAGTGGAAGGGGCAAGGGGGGAGAAGGGCTCAGGTGCCACCTCCTCCAGGAAGTCTTCTTCATCCCGGAGCTTCCTCCGCTCTCCTCTAGCTTGTTCCACCGCAGCGCCAATCCCACGGGTCCCGCTCAGGCCTCCTACCCTGCCCGGACCGCGAGTCCGGAGAAGGCAGGGCCAGCTCGGATTCCTCCCTCCGCATCCCCGCGGCGTCCGGCCGGGCGCTGGGCACCCAGCGCGCACTCAGTAAATATTTGTAGAGCGCACTAGAAGGAATGAATGAACCCATTGGGCGCCGCTGGGGGGAGGGCGGGGCCGAGGGCAGGTGGGAGGCCGCGGGCGCGGGAGGGGCCCTTGGAAGTCCGTCCTCCTCCCCCTCCTCCTCCTCCTCCCAGGCCCCAGCGCGTACCACTCTAAGGCTCCTGAGGCGGCCTCTCGTGCGATCAAGGGCGCGCGGGGCTGGGCGAGCGACCTGAGGCCCCTGCTCTGAGCGCCGGAGTTCGGAAGAGGGTGGGTCCCTGCCGCTCAAGAGCAAGAGCGCGAGAGGAGGCAGAGGAAGGAGCGCCCGCTCGCCAGCCGCCTCGCCGCCTATCCGGCACTCGCTCTCCCGGCTCCTGGGTTTGCTGGCTGCTCCTCCCACCCGCGCCCGCCTCCTCGCTCGCTCTCTTGCTCGCTTGAGCCGGCTTTCCAGCCCCGCGTTGCGCCCGGGCGAGTGCGGGGCGAGGGGCCCCGGGGCCAGCGCCGAGCCGGGGGCGGGGGTCCAGGCAGAGCGCAGCGGGTCGGGGAGGGGCCATGTCCGGCGCGGGCGCAGCGGGACCCATCTGCAGCAAGTGACCGAGCGGCGTGGACGGCCGCCTGCCCCCCTCTGCCACCTGGGGCGGCGCGGGGCCCCGGTGCCGGGTGCCCGGAGCCCGGGTCGCGCGTAGAGCCGGCGCGATGCACATGCGCTCGCTGCGCGCCGCGGCGCCGCACAGCTTCGTGGCGCTCTGGGCGCCGCTGTTCCTTCTGCGCTCCGCCCTGGCCGACTTCAGCCTGGACAACGAGGTGCACTCGAGCTTTATCCACCGGCGCCTCCGCAGTCAGGAGCGCCGAGAGATGCAGCGCGAGATCCTCTCCATCTTGGGCTTGCCCCATCGCCCGCGCCCCCACCTCCAGGGCAAGCACAACTCGGCGCCCATGTTCATGCTGGACCTGTACAATGCCATGGCGGTGGAGGAGGGCGGCGGGCCCGACGGCCAGGGCTTCTCCTACCCCTACAAGGCCGTCTTCAGTACCCAGGGCCCCCCTCTGGCCAGCCTGCAAGATAGCCACTTCCTCACCGACGCCGACATGGTCATGAGCTTCGTCAACCTCGGTGAGTGGAGGCGGGAGGGAGGGGGTGCGCGTCTGGGTCAGGAGTCGCTTTGGGACAGGGAGGGGGCCGCTTCTTAATCCAGCCCGCCCATCTCTCCACTCTTGGTCGTTAGCGAAACTGCAGCGCTTGGCCAAGGGTCTCCCACCCCCCTGCCTTAGTGAACCCCTAGCCGCGCGCGCCGCAGGTAGGGCGAGCCGTGCTCATCTGGCCTGTGGGAGTTTGGGGGGAGTAAGGACCGGTCTGAAGCCCTCTCTGGGTTAAATCGGTGGCCGCACCTCTGGGGCAGGAGGCGCCGGGCGGGCCGCGGCTCAGTTCAAAGCGCGGGGCTCGGTCATGTGAGCCGTGCCCGGCCGGCTCGGCCCGCGCTACCTGGATTTAAAGGGCCCTGCTCCGCGAAGCTGCCTTCCCGCCCTTTCTGAGCCCCTCTCTGCTCTGCCCGGCCCTGGCATCGCGGGCGTTACCTCCCATCCCGGCCTTGGCTAGCCCTACCTGTCTCCTCCCGGTGCGCCCGCCATAGCGTGCAGCGCGCCCCGGGCGCCTCGGGGGCCCCTTCCTGACCGCTGGGCGCCCCCCTCGCTCTCAGCTCTCCTAGCTGGAGCTGGGGGAAGAAACATGGCCATTGCGACCTTTCTATTTTAAATATTTAATGATAGGTCCCGGACCGGCAGAATCCATTTTCAGCGTTTATCACGTGTGGCGCGCAAACCATGGCTTTCGGCTACTGGGTGGCGAGGGATCTCCCAGCAGACGCCGCCGGGGTAGGCTAGGGGACCCGGCTTCTGACCAGAGCCCCGACGGCCCCGGGGATCCGAGGCTGGCGCTGCGGGGGTGGGGAGGGGGGCGCGGTGCTCCCCCTTCCATCTGTGCACGCACAGTCACCAGGCTTGCTCAAACTAACCCCCGACTGCGCGGTGTAGGGCTGATGATCAAATATTTAGTTTCTGAGATAACACTCCCCGATAGCGCTGTTTCCTGAGCCGCTTTCATTCTACATGTGTAACTTGCTGCGAAAATACGTACGAAGTCAAGACAGCAAACTCACGCCCACCGGCGCTGTGTCAACAGGGAAATAATGGTCCTAAAGCCCCTCGCGGGGCACCCGGGGCATGGATGGAGGGCGGCGGGAAGCGCGGATCAACCTTAGCGCTTCTCGCACCAGATAAGGTCCCTGGAGTTCTCGGGACGCCATTGTCTGTCCTTAATAATAGCCCCAAATCAAATAGTGAAACGAGTTTCAACGAGAGCAAGGGGTGGGAGGTTTAGATGCCAAAATGACTTCAAGAAAGTTTAAATTATACTAGGCAGCTTGTTAGAATGAGGCAACCCCATATGTCCTGATTTAGAACAATCTCCAAGATGTATGAGGTGGAAAAAAGCAAGGTGCAGATCAGTGAGGTTACATACGTGCGGTATATCATCCTTTCCCACTGGGAAAGACACCCTGGATTGGAAATAGATTTCAGGGGCGGGGTGGGGGGGTGCCGAGTGGCGGGGTGCAGCAGGGCAGAACTGGGTTGGGGCCTTAGGGATTGGGAGTTAAGGCCAGATTTTTTCATTGTCTGCACTTCTGTGTGATTTTTTGCCCCTCTCAATGTGTATTTGTGACCTATACCAGAAACTAAAGAAAAATCCCAAATATGTACATATAAATACATCAGTTAAAGCAGAGCTCTGTAGCCATCCTGAAGCCAGGAGTTAGCCAGGGTCCTTTCTCTGGCTGGGGATTTATGGTATCTTTTCTGTTCTGTTGGGTACCGGTGACTCTTGGTGAAGGCAGTAGGTCCCAATGGTGGCCTTCAGAGCCTGGCTGAGGTCATTTGAAAGGTATTTGTAAGCCCCCGCTTCTCTGGAAGGCTCTGCAAACCCAGTGCTTTAGAAAGGACCCTACTACTTATGGATCAGCAGCCTGGCCAGACCCGGGCTCCCCCCATGCCAGAAAAGGACAAGGTTGCCAACCGGGCACCTCTGGGAAACTTGGGGCAGGGCTGTTTGCTCCCCCATGGCGGTGGGGAGCAAGCTGGAACTTGTTTGGGAAGGCCACAGCTGGGTGGTTTTCCTTCTCTGGCTGTACACACACCTTTCAACCCGTTAGCCACATTTCTTTCATCTTGAAAGGACAAAGACTGGCTTGTCTGAGCCTCTTAATCAGTCGGGCTGGCTTTGGGCTTTGTGGGACAGTCCTGACTTTCTCAGGTCTTGCTTTCTGGAACATCACTCCAAATTAAATGGCAGAGTGGCTTTTAACAGAGTGCCCTGACCTTGTTTTCTTTCTTTCTCGGCCCCTAAAATTCGAGGTAATTAGTTGGGTGAAGACTTGGACCGCAGTTGGGCAAGACGCTTCCTGTAGATGTTTCTATGGTTGCCCTTTAATTTCTGCTCTGTAGCAGCATGGGAACAAACCTCCGATCCCTTCTGTTCTGTGGGGGTTCCGAGATTTTGCTCAGGAGGGGCTGGGGTAGCAGTGGGGTTGGCGGGAGGCATGTAGGAGACCTGCTTGGAAGCTGAGAGAAAACACACGGTTTTTCCTTGGATTGAAGTTCATATTGACCTGTAACATACAAAGTTTTCTAAAGGAGTGTGTTTAATCTCACACTTTACCTAAAAGTGAGAAAATGTCATTTGTTCATATGCAGCTACCTCTTGTTATCATGCAGGGGATCCAGGGGGTCCGTTGGGGATTGTCGACAGAGGCCTTGAAGGCAGACTGACCTTCTCCACCACCCGAAAAGCCCCCAAAGCCCCCTCCTCCTCCTACCACCCTCTTCTCCCTCACTGCATACCCCTGCTGTCCTGCAGTGCTTGGGGGACTTCAGCCTGAATTCTGAAGGCTTTTGCAGACCTGGTACATTTCTTCTTCCCTCTATCTGCAGCCAGACTGGTTTTTGTTCCTGCAAGTCATTCTCCTCAGAATTCAAGCTTTTTGCCAGGCTGGAGCAGGATCTAAACTAGAGAGGGAACTAGAGGAGGATTTATGACAAAACCAGGTGCTGAGAATGAGGACCTCAGACCGCACCTTGTGACAAAGACCAGCCTGTACAATAAAGCCCGTGTAACGCTAGCTGAGCTGCCAGACGGAGACTCGCATCTTCCCAGCCTGGGCCTCTTAAGTTCAATGGCGAGATTTGTAAACTGGTTTGGATTAACAAGCCCCCAACTCCTCTGTGTAGACTTAATTTTGGAATTCAAAACAGGCTACCCTCTCTTAAATTGTCCCCAGGCAATGTGAGTTCTGCAAACCGAATCCGGCTATAGCTGCCCCCACCCCCCTTTCTTTGGAGAAATTCAGCAGCTCTTTCTGGAATCTTCTAAAGAAACCCCTGGCACTGGAGGTGTGTGGTACACGTCTGTCTCTGGTCCAGGTTATGAAGGAAACAAATTTGTTTCATCTTCGGAGTTAAGGTTGAAAAAAAAAAAAAAGAAGTTGGAAACCTGTCCTTATTGGGCTCAGGGTCTAGAAGTGGCTTTTGTTAATGTAGCTGAGGCACAGGGAGAAGGCCGTTCCGTTTTACTTTTATTTTATACCATCTGGCGATCCTTTTTGTTGACAAGTGTTTGGCATTAAGATCTCTCCTTTTGCCCCTTCAGAACAGGCCCTACCACTGTAGAGTATTAGAAAAAGATTCAGTTACAGTTTAAAAATTTCCTTCAGGGAGTGCTTGCCGAGGGAGCACGGGCTGCAGGCACTCGCAGCTGTAACCTGGCTTGTGTTAAAATTTGGAAAGGGCTGTCCCGCATTCCAGCGCTCAAGCGCCGGCCCTCACTGGTGAGCAGCCAGAGGTTAATATAGATGTCACCCAGCCTTCCCTCCTTCTCTCTTTCTTTCTCTCTTTTCTGCACAGCGCCTTCGCTATAGGAGCACACCAACAGCTGTGTTTTCAGTAACCCTTTCAACATCACTTCTTTTAAACCTCATTTTCCTGCTTATATAAATCAAAGATCTTCTCCCCCACCCTCCTCCCAAGGATATATGTGACCCAGATTTGAACTTTTTGGATCGTCTTTGTAGTTCCCTTCAGGAATCAGAGCAGGTTAAGGCCAAGCCCTGGATGCCAGCTCGCGTGGCTGTTTGTGGTTTTGATTCCAGAGTGGTTGATTCCAGAGTTGTTACTTGGTTGCGGGGTGGCCCTTGGAGGGGGTGAGAGAGGAGACCTGGAGAAGCGGACGGGGGTTCTCTGCGTGCACAGAGAGAGGAAACAGCTTCTGAGATGCAGCTCCTGTGAGCTCTGGGTCGGGGCCTTCCATCGCGTCGCTGCCTGTCAAGCCTCTGCCGAGATAAACACAGCTGGTCCGCGATCCCTTGACCACCGGCGTGCCTGCGATGTGAGCGAATATCACATGTCTGCTGAACTCAGAGAGAGTGATGACTTCATTCCAGGGAGAGCCTCATCTACGTTGATTGATCACCCCTATCGCTTTAATATCATCCCCCCCTCCATTGGGTAAGGTCATATTTGGCCCATTGCGAGAATCAGAGTGTCCTAACACTCTCCCCGTCTCCACCCTTCCCCAGCCTGCCCGTCCATTTTAACCAGCTGGAGATTTTGAATGGAGAGCCCTTTGGACCAGGTGGCTGACCCCGTTCATTTTTTGGTGACCACCTCTTCAGACCTTGCTGGGGGCTGTCAGCATGGCTGGTTTGCGGTGGGGGATGCTGGAGTGCTTCGCTTTAATTTGCTCTGGCAGTGTCACCGGGGTTAGGGCACAGGCAGGGATGTGTGGGACCTGTCATGTTATTGTCAGAAGGAATGTGAGGATTAGCCTTTAAAACATGGCGGTGGGAGAACACTGCAGCTGTGTACACTTATTATAGAAGATTTAAGTCCCACTGGTAAAATCAATATATTGAATTGCTTGACCCTCTGCTTTTAATTAGTTTCAATCAAATGCGCCGGTGTCATTTTGCCTCCTCTCGCCTTCCTGGGGTGAGGAAATACCAATATTTACATAGAAACTGTTAATTTGTGGTGCAAAGGAGAATGCATTTAGCTTTGCACACCCAA